CTGACATGATTAAGATCCTCAAACGAGTCATGTGTTAAAGAGCCCATACATAAGTCTTGATGTTGTTTTCAGGCTCTTCTAGAACAGGTTTTCCTGCTTGAATGTTGATTATTCTCCTCATATTCTCCATTGTTGCGGCTCCTCTCTTCCCAGTCTGTCAGTAACGCTCTGTTTACTTCCTGTCTCTATGAAGCCCCTCCTTCTGAAAAGCACACTGTGCTCTGATTGGTCGGCTGGAGCAGTGTGTTGTGATTGGTCAATAGTATCTGAATCAATTGTATGTGAATAATTCAGAATTGTAATCTCCTGATCTGATGTATAATGCACGAGTGTGAGATGTGTGTCCGACATGAGATTGAATCTGCCTGTCTGAAAGTGAAACTCTGTTTGATTCCGAATCGCTGCCTGATATCCAAGACACCCGTGAGTCTGACAACAGTGGAAGAGGATCTGAACTCCTGTCACACGCCCAATAAAGAGCGTTTACTACAGATGCAGAGGTCAGAGGTCAACCTCATTTCATTAACAGTCTGCGGCAGAGCTTTTGAAAACCATATATATATATATATATATATATATATATATAGAGAGAGAGAGAGAGAGAGAGAGAGAGAGAGAGAGAGAGAGAGAGAGAGAGAGAGAGAGAGAGAGAGAGAGAGAGAGAGAGAGAGAGAGAGAGAGAGAGAGAGAGAGAGAGAGAGAGAGAGAGAGAGAGAGAGAGAGAGCTGCAGAACAAGACCTTATCTGTTCACAATGCACTTCATGGAAAAAAAACCCATAAAAATAAATAAATAACACAGAAGCACTCAAGAATGCTTTCACTGCCAGTGTCTGAGTGAGTGTGTGTCCTTCAGTGAGGAAACAAGGACAGGAGAGTGTGTGTGTGTGTCTGTGTGTATGTGCGCATGTGCGTGCGCATGTGTGTGTGCGCATGTGTGTGTGCGTGCATGTGCGCGAGTGTGTGTGTGTGTGTGCGTGCATTTGTGTGTGTGTGTGCGTGCATGTGCGCAAGTGTGTGTAATCTGTGTATACATTTCCACACAAGAGATGAGCGATCAACTGTCACTCACGGCATCACATTTCATTCTCACCCGACCAAAAAACTATAATTTGAGATCTGCATAATTTCCTTCCATGAATTTTTTCTCGGTGCAATTGAAAAATGTAATCTTTTATTTAACACAAAGTTTTTAAAAACTCTTGAAATGAACTGTCGCGTCTACTTAAACCCGACAGCACAAACATAGCAGATAAACACATTTAAAATGTGCAGTTTCATCGTGCACTCGGGTGCATATGCAATATTTATCCTTATGTACTGCAAATGATCAATGCCACCTTGAGTAAGCTACTACAAAAGTCAAATTTAAAGATTTAATTGAACTCCAATTAAACAATTGTCCAACGTTTAGTGATGACGACCTTTCCCGAGGTCAGCGCTGTGGAAACGCTGTGAAGATGTGAGAGCAATTCTCATCTCAATTGTACACCCACACACACACACACACACACACAAAACTAAAAAATGTGTTTGGTCACTTTACCAATTTTCAATTAAGATGCGCAGTTGTTGGCCACAGGACCAGACTGAATATCTAACAGCTCTAAAGGCTAATAAAGGTCGAGCTCATTATTAGCACAATAACAGCAGATCTGATCTCTCTCAGAAATGCCACTGCTTTAATAGTTAAAACGGCAGATCCAGAGTCAGCAGGAGGCCTGAACTTCCACTCATCTCACTTCATCTGTTCAACAACACACAGAGGAATGATGGAGGAGACGGAGAGAGAGAGAGAGAGAGAGTACAGTGGGTTAGTGAATTATTGAAACACCTCTTTATCATCATCATCCTCCTCATCCTCACAAGTGCTCTGTAAATGAGTGGCTGTAGTAAAGAGAGGGAAAGGTCACAGATCTTCTCTTGAGGTGTTGTGTGAAGGAGAGCGTTCGTCACTGCTGCTCGTGCTTATATATTACACATGAGAAATGACATGACTGGATAAACAGATGCATATAATATTAATGTATGGACAGCTTCTAAAGCGTAGCCCCTTTTGAATATGGACAATAGATATTTTCAAACATCGATTGAAATTGTTGTATTTATGATCAATTATATGATAATTAAATGTTTATTGGAAATTAATTCAATGCATTTGACAAACATTAATTATTTGACATCCGTTCTGTTCTGTGTGATTTCTAAACATGCAAAGATCTGAACAGCAAACTTGCCAAAGCAGAGAAAAGCAGAATACAACAATCACTAAACTAAACCAAACTTACCTAAATTAAAGTAATATAATATAAAAAAAATATATAAAAAAAAATTAAAATTAAGAGCAAATGGCAAAAACTAAACTAAACTAAAATAGTGATATACATAAATAATTTAACGAATTTGTATTACCAAAGTACTGAAAAATATAATAAAAACTAAACTAAATCAAGTTTAACTAATCTAAAATAAAGTTAAATTTTTTTAACAACAAATGGCACA